GGTATCTCAGTTGGTTGAGCATCCAACTCTTGATTTTAGCTCAGGTCATGATCTTAGAGTTGTGAGATGGTACCAAGCATTGGACTCTGCACTCAGTGCCGAGTGTGGTTGTCCCTCTCCCTCTGCTTCTCACCCGGTTCACACTCTCTATCTCTTAAATAAATAAATGAATAAAATCTTTAAAAAGATAAAATAAAATCAGAGGAAAGATTTGGAGAAAGACCGAAAGAACCTAGAATTCTGCTGACGAAAAGAAATAACTGTAGTCCTTTTCATCAGCACCTGCAATGCTCCTTTCCAGACTCTCACCATCTTTAACTAGGATTTTTACAATATGTTCCTAGCTGAAATGAAGACTTGAATTCCTTACACTTCACCCAAGACCTCAGACTTTCACTGGAGTATCTTTCTAAATATTGATCACGTTATGAAAGTCTCTCATTATTAAGACATTAAGTAGTCCTCATTGTCTTCAAGTTCAGTATCTGAATTACTTAATTTAAGCCTTAACAATATGACATTTTTCTTTAACTCCAAGCTTCCATGTTTTGCAATATGTAATTTGTTCTAAAATACTATATAACAAAGGAAGGAAGCCAGTAGTAAGTAAATAATTACAGAATAAGAAAAAGGGAGAAGAAGGAGGATGATAAAGATGGGGAACTAATTACCTCATTTATACCCATAAACAGGTGATCCTTGAACAACGAAGGGGGAAGGGTTAAGGGTGCTGATTCCCATGCAGTCAAAAATCCATGTTTAACTTTTGACTTCCTCAAAACTTAATTACTAATAGACCATTATTGACTGGAAGCCTTATCAATAACATAAATAGTTGATTAACGTGTATTTTCTATGTTTCTATCTAACATATATCTAATACACTGTATTCTTACAATAAAGTGAGCTAGAGAAAAAAAAAATATTATTAAGAACATCGTAAGGAGTGTGGTGCCTGAGTGGCTCAGTGTGTTAAGCTTCTGCCTTAGCTCAGGTCATGATCCCAGTGTCCTGGGATCAAGTCCCACATCAGGCTCTCTGCTCAGCTGGGGGCCTGCTTCCCCCTCCCCCTCTGCCTGCTTCTCTCCCTACTTGTGATCTCTCTCTCTCTCTGTGTCAAATAAATAAATAAAATCTTAAAAATAAAAAAAGAAAGAAAATCGTAAGGAAGCAAAAATACATTTATAGTATTACACCATATAAAAAAAAATTCATGTATAAGCAGATCCACACAATTCCAACTGATGTTCAAGGGTCAACTGTGTATTATTAAGCTTAAACATAACAAAGATGATTTTATTTAAGTAAAAAAAAAAAAAACAAGATTATCTGGGAACAGAGGAGGAATTACAATTCAGAACAGGAAGCTATGGTGAACTGTAGGGAGGTCTGAAGAGACAAAGGGAAGGTTAGCTTTTATTAGGTTTTAGGAGGAACCTGGGAATAGTTGTTTGAACAAGTTTAGAGAAGAATAAGAGTTCAAGGTTGTAGTGGTGTTTCATTGTCCACAAGTGGTTGTTATTGTGTTGTTGCTGGGGCAGGGAGGGCTCTCCCTTCCTTTTTTAAAAATCAGGAGTTGTAATGTCCTCCCTTGTGAAAATAATTCTTATCTTCCGTTTTCCTGCTGGTTCTGTAGGCTATAATGAAGGGTACATTCTTGAGAGCTCCCGTCTCAGGACTTCCGAATTCCATTTGGACTTATTTCCACATTATAAATGGACATTTTAACTTGATGGGCTTCTAAACTTGCACCTTCCTATCCAGACCCCACTGTCCCAGATAGGTATATCCTATAATCTCTGCCATTTCCAGTAGATTATTTTATAAATATTGAAATTATGAAGGCCTAATATGAAATTTCTTTTTATTTTCTTTTTCACAAATTGAGACTTTCCTCATTTAATCTCAAGAAAAACTTTGATTTTTCCCACTGGAACATCTGAATGTTTTTTGCTGCTTTAGTGAAGTAGGCATTACCTTAGATTAACTTTGTGTATGTTTTGTCATGAAATGCCTTTTCCCCATTTTAGAAATCACTACCTTGAATTTTCCCCTAAATCTAGTCTTGTGCAGTCTTCCCTAATCAACAGATAGCTACACCTTCCCTAACACTAATCAACAGCTACACCTTCCATGTGTTGGCTCAAGGAGTCATTTTTCATTCCTTTCCCTTACTACATACTTTACTCAATCCATCAGCAAATGTGGATGATCCTATCCCCAACATATCTTTAAAATTCCTACATTTATCTCTAATTCCACTTCTAACAGCACCATGTTAGTCCACAGTCATGGACTATCCACAATCGCAATTCCTAGCCACAATCACCTCTTGTCTCTTGTCTACTCTTCCTTAATATCTCCCATCTAGTCTTCATGCTTTCATACTTGTCCTATTCCAGTCCATTCTTCTATAGATTCAAGAATCTTTGCCTTAAAATTCAAATTGCATTGAGGATGCCAGGGTGGCTCAGTCAGTTAAGCATCTGCCTTCGGCTTAGTTCATGATCCCAAGGTCCTAGGATCCGGCCCCATGTTGAGCTCCCTGCTTAGTGGGGAGCCTGCTTCTCCCTCTCCCTCTGCCTGCCACTCCCTCTGCTTATGCATGTTCTCTGTCTCTCTCTCTCCCTCTGTCAAATGAATAAGTAAAATCTTAAAAAAAAAAAATTCAACTTGTATCAAGTGACTTATGTTTAAAATTTTCCAGTGGCTTCTCAGTGTAAAATAGAGTGTAGACTCCTTGCCCCCAAGACTCCTTTCCCCTCTGACTCCATTTGGGGAGTTCTCTCTTTAGCTTACCAGAATCAGCTACTCTTTGTTCAGTTCCTCAAACTTATCAAACTTTCCCTCATCTTTGAAAAGATCCTCCCCTCACTCTGCCTTTTCCAAGAGTTTTCTGCGCTATTCATGATGCTATCATTTAATTTGTGACTTTTTCGTAAGCTCTGTGATGACCATGAGTCAGAGTCCCTGACTGTCTCGCCCACTCTTTTACCCCCAGCTGCCTCTGCACTATTCCCAGCAGGTAATTTTTTTAAACAGTACCTTTTGAACACAGAAACTTTGAATCAATGTGATGCAAAACCTAATTGGAAGTGTTATAGTGGGAAGAAGTAAGGACATTTATTTTAATGAGACTGGAAAGAAGGAGGAAAGAGAAGGTCTTAAGGGCTTATAGTTCTGGGGTAGGAAGTTATCAAAGGGAAGGCTTGATTTCCTTTCTGAATGAGAACAAGTTCCCTGCCTAGAATTAATGAGTAGAAGAGGGGGTATGGGTTTTGAAGGGAGCCCCTGAAAAAATTTTAAAAGATCTTATTTATTTATTTGAGAGGGAAAGAGAAAATACAAGTGGAGGGAGGGAGAGGGACAAGCCGACTCTGCACAGAACCCTGGGCGGGGCTCAGTATCACTACTCTGAGATCATGACCTGAGCCAAAATCAAGAGGCAGTTGCTTAACCAACTGAGCCACCCAAGCATCCTGAGAGCCACTGAAATTTGAATAACTAATAAAAAGAGTAGGAGAATTACAAAAGAAACTCTAGAAGAAATGACAGGTGGTTCAACAGGTGGTGTTGGGGACCAGGATCTTGTCATGACCTCTCTTAGTAGAGTTGAGAGTTTCTGCAGCACTGCTCACAGCATAGGATTTGGGGAGAAATCAGCTTCACTGAACCAATGTTTAAAGTTTGAAGGATAGGTGGAAAGGGAGTAAAAAGGCATTTAAAAAAATTGAGAACAGTGGTGAAAGTGATGGCACTGATTAACAGAGATCTTAGATGGAGTAGAGAGAAAGAGACAAAGCCAAACGGCTGCTAATATTCTGCCAAATGAGAGGATTACAGGATTGCAAGTATCCAGGTGTCTGAGGAGAGGGAGAGGTCGAGGAGAGAGGTGGGGCTGAGAGATGTCTTCAGAATAAGATACCTACGGGAGGATTTCTTCCAAGATCTTTTTCTACCAAATGATGTTTTAACTTCCTCAAGACTGGGTGTCTTGAAGGACAAAAGAGCCTAGAATATTTTATGGAATGTGTGATAATGAAGTGGTTCATTTGGCCAGAGCAAAACAAGGCCACCACAGGGTCATTCGACAATTCAAGCATCTTAAAATTTCCAGAGGCAATTTGATAAATGACTCAGGATAAATTCAGATCACCAGCAACTTATACTCAGAACATGTTCCCCCTTGGGCTAAGGGAGCATTCCAAGAACGTATTTAATGAGGTGTTATACTAACCAGCCATTCCCTGGGTCTATTTCTCTATGAGTGTTGAAGCTAATTGCCGAATAAACGTGTTTTCTCAAATATTCCTTACCTCTACACAGACCATTTTCAAAGGAATCACATATCTTTAGTTGTTAACCTGTATCAACAAATCTTTATTGATGAAATAAAGTGACTTTCGGTGCGACTTAGTGATAACATAACAGGCTGACTGGCGAAAGGAAAAATAAGACCATAACTCTCAGGAGAATCTTAGCAAAAAGGGGAAAATTTGATGTCAATAGTAAGAGTACCAAATACGTGTGCATAATACTTTACAAATCTTGTCATTTATATCTAGTTTACTTGATTTGCACAACAATCCTGTTTTACAAGTGGGAAAACTGCTTTAGAGATTTTCAGTGATTTATCTAAGGTGACTGGCAAGTCATTTTTCCCCGATACACATCACTTCCTCAATTGTCCAGTAAAACACATTAAATCCTCGTATGTCCAGTATTACATGGGGTGCACAGCTTAGCACTACACGCTTAGCATACACGGCAGGAATGTGTCCCGGGCGGGAAGGATCCCCTCCAGGCTGAGTTCCAGGAACTCTATAGTTGCTCTAGGAACTGGAGAGCGGCGCGGACAGCCATTTCTACCATGTCTCCACTAGGTGGCAGTGAAGGCCACCCCGCTATAATGTGTCACTAAAAGAGAAAAGCAAAACAATGCCATTCTTTCACACTTAGGAAAAGACTGCGTGTGCATGTGCATGCCAGCACGCGTGTGCGTGTGTATGTGTGTGTGCGCGCACACACATGTGTTTGCTAGGCAGAGGAACTGAAAAATGAATAGAAACTCTCACTGCCCCCTATGCGGTTTCTCACACTGCTAGTGGGTAGGACCAGAGTGAAAGAAAGACCTTGATTATTTGGCTCTTTGATACTATACTGTGTTCTCTTAGCCCGTATCTGTAAGGATGGATCATGGACGTCCACATAGGTATTGTATGATGTCCAAGAGTATCACTGTCACTCAGCATAAAAGGGAATGTTTTCTTAAGAGGAAGAATTCATGACTTTGGTGCATTCCTGTCTGTGGCTGTGCCTACGCTATTGTGTATTACGATCTATTATTGTGCTATAGCTGGTAGGAGGGAAAAACACTTGCAGTACCCTATGGGTGAAGGAACTCAACTGCTAAAGGAATTCAAGATACTTTTGATGCTTTCTTGGTTCAGTTGTAATCAGCATTGCTAGAGCTTAGTTGCAAACTTTGGTCACTGAATAAAGAATAAGAGTTTCCAATTAGAGCAATTTCATCTTAGAAAATAGATGCGGCTGGAAATGAAGGGTTGGAACCCATCCTTTTCACTGAATAATGTTTAGTTTTCATCCTAAATCTTCCAAAAGTTAGGGGGAAAAAAAAGTTACATTTGTCTGTCTGTAGCAAAGGCGGAGAAACCCCCACCCCATTTATAAAACCAGAGTTGCCATCAGTTTGAAGGGTGTTCTACCCGAGGAAACTCATCCATTGGAGGCAGCTGCTTCTCCTCTGGCACGGGGGGGAGGTCAGGTGCTTTCTGTCCACACCTGGCCACAGTGAAGCGACTCATGTGGAGAGCTTCTTCGTACCCTGGGAGGGTGTCCAAAGAGGAGGGCAATTGGCTGAGGGGGCTGTGCGAGTGAGCCACAGCCAGGATTCTTCGAGCTGCAGGGCCAAATATTGACTGCAGGGCTAGGGAGGAAAGAAGGAATAGAGCTAAAGTAACTGTGACATCCTCAAAAATCAGGGACTTACAACACACTTAACTCCCCTTCATTTTTAGCGCGTGTCCAAACCATTGTCACTCTCGGCCACAAATGTTATGAAAATGCTGTGAAGCTTGTTTGGAAAACCGCTTCACTCTGCTGAGAGATCCTGTCTTCTTTGGGGTCTTCAGCTAATCTAAATTGTGACCCCATATCTCACACCTTGTCCTTCCCTTTTACAGAATCGGGGCCCTTTATGTCAACCCACTGATAACGCAGACTCCTTAGAAATATTTATTTCTGTCTTATTTATCTTTTCCCAAAGGGCAGTTAGTGAAGCAGGAAAGGTGGACAGCAATATATCCTCTTTTCAAAAGAAATTTCACAATGTTGTGCCACTGCTGTTTTTCCTGGTCTCTCTTCTCCCATTTCAGGAAAGAATATAATATGAAGAAGAGAACAGAAGGACATAAAGGAGGTGTTTTATAATCATCAAGGTGATGTTAGGCTAACATTTAAATGTATCAACAGATCCACTACAGAACAAAGAATGGAAAGTACACATGATTAATTTCTTCAAAGATACAAAATAATATATAGGTAATAAAAAATACAGGTTCTCGGGGCGCCTGGTGGCCAGTCGGTTAAGCGTCAGCCTTCAGCTCAGGTCATGATCCCAAGGTACTGGATCGAGCTCCGCAACGGGCTCCTTGCTCAGTGGGGAGCCTGCTTCCCCCTCTCCCATTCCCCCTGCTTGTGTTCCTCTCTCACTATGTCTATCTCTGTCAAATAAATAAATAAAATCTTAAAAAAAAAATACAGGTTCTCACAAAATCCAAGACATTCTTGAAAAAGGGATACACTCAGAGCTTAAAATAGTTTTATCAAAATAACTTTATGAACTGGGTAATTCTTCCTGTAAGACCTTTCCAATATTTTCTTCAACATTCTACTTTTTTCTTCACTCTATCATTAGACCAATGTTTGAGAACACAGCATCAGTGAGAGTCCAGGTCACCACACCATCAGGCTTCTGGAAATTAAAATAACCCTGAGTTCTAGCATCTTTAATGCAATTCAATCCATGTTTCTATATTGTTTCATCGTCCTGATCATTCTTTTTATTTGTCTTTTTTTTTTTTTTTTTTTTTAAGTAGGCTCCTCACCCAGCATGGAGCCCAGTGAGGGACTTGAACTCACAGTCCTGGGATGAGATCAAGTGTCTGACTCTTAGCTGAGCCACCCAAGCGCCCCCAATCATACCCTTTATAAAAAAACTTTATTTATTTATTTGACAGAGAGAGAGACAGCAAGAAAGAGCACAGCCAGAGGGAGAGGAAGAAGCAGGCTCCCTGCTGAGCAGGGATCCTGACCAGGGACTCAATCCCAGGACTCTAGGGTCATGACCTGAGTGGAAGGCAGACACTTAACTGACTGCCAAACATCCACCTCCTTGATCATCCTTTCAAACCCCCACTCAGGTTATAATATCAGAGTACTCACAAGTGATTGTGCTCTGGAGAGTGCTGTCATGGTCGAAAGCTATAACTGTCACTTCATAGGGAGGCCGGCCCTCATCTTCCCCATTTTGCTGGCGACTCAGACAGCAGCGGAAGCACGCAGAAGTCAGGCCGCACAGGAGAAGCAGCGCCCCGATGACCACCAGCAGCCTGCAGGAAGACCCCCCGCCCCCCGATGAGAGCTCTGTGATCTGGTGTGTTTCCCAGTCCTGGCCCCAACTGGTCTTCAGTGTCTACATTTTGACTTTGTTTGACCATTTTACACAATAATCATAAGATTTTAATTCCAACACTTTCACTTCACAGGCATACTTATTTTGTCAGCAAGACTTAATCAGTTCATTAAAACAATAAGAGATCTAATATGGTTTGGAGGGTCTGCTTTCTACTCTATATTCTCCTCTCTATAGACATTTCTAGAACTGAGAAAATACATAATAACTTTTTGATGTTGGCTGAGGAAATGGTAGGTATTGAAACAGGAAATCCTAGCATATTGTCACACAGTTAAAAATGAGGTAAAGAAACTTGACTCCATGAGATACTAAGTAAGTAGGCTGGCTGTCTCATACATTTTTTTTTTTCCTGATGTCAATTTATTTAAAAGCTAAAAAAGTAAAAATGAATGCCCCTGAGAAAAATAAAGTTCCTTTGAAATGTCTTTCTGGGTATGATAGCTGAAACTTACCATATATACCAGAGATGTACCCAATCTGTGGTCAGGCAACTATGGAGAAAGAATAAAGTTTTTTTGCAATGAAAACATAGTCGGTGCCTATTGTAGTTCCATAATCTGGAATATGAGTTACAATATAGTATGCTACCTTGTTATAATAATAGCATTACAACCTATATATATATATTTTAAGTTTGTATTTTAATTCCCATTAGTTAACATACAACAAGTTATACTAACTTTAATATAACCAGCAGAATCTATTGTAAAATGGGATGCCTTAAGTGTTTAATACTATAGATGGCATTGTGTAAATATTTTTGTAAATCATTTTAAGATAGACTAGTGATTATGAAAATGGTGCTAATAGAAAATATAACCATGACCACTATAAACAGTTATGATGACAATTACCAGGAAAGAATTTGGAATGTAAAATTACAAAGTTTGAAAATGGGTATGAAAGTTAAGGTTTGTATATATACTTGAGATCAGTAAAATTTAAACATAAAGAAAATTTCAGTTATAAGCATGAAAGTAATACAATGAAGTTTATAATTTATGTCTTGCAAATTGCTGCAAAAAGGGTCACCATTATACCATAAAAATTCTCACCATGAAAAAACCCCTAAACTTTCACATCCATTATCAAAACTGATATGCACACCCACTTAAGCCAAATAGGAAGGAGGAAAAATGTAGAAACCAGTTTCCCCATGTTAAAAGTTAACTAACTGAATTTTCTCTATAGAGATGGCAAAATTTTATGGATTGCATGGAAGAAGGAGTATGGGATAACTCAGGAGTGGGAAGGGGAGAGGAAGGAAATATTTATCTTCGAAGATGAACAAACTTAATAATACTCTCTGATATATTGAACTGTTGAAATCTATTGAAATTCTCTTTCACATCCTCTCTTTGGTTGCACAGTTGTAGAACATACAGTTTGTTTTTCAATAAACAATGTCTCCTGTAGGTTTCTCACATTCTCCATTTATTTAAAGCCTCTTCTAGTTCTAGAGTTATGATTCTGAGTCTGTTAAAAGTGATTCTTCCCAAGTGGTAGGTGTCTAAAGCCTCAGACAGTGTGACAAGCAGCCCAGGTCACCACCATTTCCCCTGGGTTTAACAGTCTTGGCCGTTGAGAAACCCTTCCCATGGCTAAATATTTGTTTTCCTTCAGGCTGAGCAAGTGTTTTGTTCCAACTGCCCCTGCTTTCTTAATAATTTACCTCCAAGTGGAATGAATCTCTTCCCCTTTTATGTCCTCTGTATCTGTGTAAGACCTAATAGTGATAGGTTTAGATTAAGGGATTACAGCCTCAATGTGATAGCTGCATGAAGTCTGCAGGAAGTATTGACATGCCCTAAAATACAGAAAATGCTCATCATAGTTAAGATGGTGAGGTTAGTTTGGCATTACCCAAACATATCTGCCAGGGATGAGATTTTAAATCCAGTGGATCCTGATGAGTCACTGAGAAGCATGGGAAGGAAAACCATTCGCAAATTTCTGTGACTGTATGAATTGAGATTAATTCTGTTGTTTTAATGGGAAGATAGGCTTTGGAAAAAATGCTTTCAGTGATGTTATTTTAAGTACTTAGGATGACACAAGGGCATGTCTTTATTTTTGCATGATCCGTCTACCAGACTGGTGGGTTGATGTCCATTTAAGTAAAGATAAAGGGAAGTCAGAGATATTTAATGACCTCTTGACCTCCTGTTTTGGGTACTAATGTTTTTGTCTGTTTCTCCTTCTTCAGTTTGGTCTCAGATACTTACTGTTCAGGATTCACGCAGTTCTCCTCACATCTTGCTGGGGGAAGCTGCAAGAAGGGAAATAGTCTCAGACAGGGAAATGTCTCATCTGTTCTGCTCAGCAGCCTGCCATCGCTTCCCCATGACTCTGCTCTGTTAGTTTACTTGGTGAAAGCCGAGAAAATATGAGGACAAGGTCATAGGGTCAGCCCTGTTTGTTTTCATAGCTCTCATGCCTGTGGATTATTATATCTGAAGTGGGAGAAACTAGAAGGGCAAATATCTAATCTGTCGGGGGTTTTTCGTTTGTTTGTTTGTTTCGGTGGGTAAGCATTACAACTTTTGTGAATGAGAGTCAGAGGCAACATTTAAATCAATTTGTCCTAGAAATGTCCTAATCTATCCCTCAGGATATTGTTATCACCTTCCTAAATCTTTCCCAGTTACAAATTGAATTCTACCCCGCTCCTCTTTTCTATTCCCTTAGTTCATCAATAACCCACCCCTGCCCCCCAAAAAAAGAAGGAGAAAAAGGAGGGGAACAATTGTATTTATTGAATATCCCACTTTATGCCAGTCAGGCTGCTAAGAAGTTTCAGTAGGTCATAACATTTCATCACAATAATCATGTAGGTGGGTATATTTAACCTTATTTTGAAAGGTTACATGACAGAGGCAAAAGGGTTTACGTTAACATGAGCAAACGCATGCTCCTATTGATGTAGCCAGAATTCAAATCCAACTCTGTCATATATGTGCGCTGAATGAATTAGTAGGACAAGAGCTAAATCTGCTCTGATAACACCTTGATATTGCTATCAAACCCCTCCTGCGACTGATGATGAAAGCTTCTTCTCCTTCTTTTACCTTGTTTTTCAGTTGACTTTTTCCCTCACATAGAGGAACTTTTGTTTAGAAACTGCATCTCTCTTCCAGTAAATCAAATGACTTAATATTCTCAGGAAATCAACAACAAGGGACCCACAAGGGACAGATATTTGTACTTATTGAGAGTTTATGGGAGGAAGAGGGGACACACAAACTCAAGACATACCAGGTGAAGCAGGGAGCATTTGAGAAGCTCCTTTTTTTTTTTTCTTTTAATTTAAAATGGTTGGCCACTAAGGATGACAAAGTGTGTACTTCCTCTAACCCACCTCTGGTTCTCTGTTTCTCTTTTCTGACTAAAGTTAAGAGAAGCTTCAAGTGCTAAACAGAGAAAATACTTCTTTTTGTGACTATTGCCAAAAAAGAAAAAAAAAAGAAAATTAAAAAGAAAGAAAGTTCAGGGCAAGGAAAAGAAGAGGAAGCAAAGGAAAATACAAGAAGAAATGGATTTACAGACAATAATTTAACTAGGATATAGAAAGCAAAACAGTTGGTCCATTCTCCGCTAGGAGATGTACAGAAATCTGATACAGGACAGTGCTTCATTTGCTTTTCCTCTCTCTCTCTCTCTTTTTTTAAGTAGGCTCCACACTCAGCATGGAGCTCAACACTCTGGGCTTGAACTCACAGCCCTGAGATCAAAACCTGAGCTGAGATCAAGTTAGACGCTTAACTGACTGAGCCTCCCAGGTGTCCCTGCTTTTCCTCTTTACTAGTGTTCATCGCTGTGTAAACTTCCCCTTGACAATTGTCCAGAATCCTCACCCTACTGACCTTTTTCTCAGCTAATGAGTTACCTAGGGCCTTCTGATTTTTGGTGGGGAGAAATAAAAGGTCAGAAGTATTTTTTAAGAGTTTTAAGAGTTACATGATCTGGAAGCATGTAAGTTGCTAGAATTGTATCAGGGCTGATGTGGAAACTCTGTTGAGGGGAATTATGTGTTCATTTTGATCATTTATTTGGGATCTTGAGGGATGAATGGTAAGATGCTAAAAGAGAGAAATGGGGGTGCCTGGGTGGCTCAGTGTGTTGGGCCTCTCTGCCTTTGCTCAGGTCATGATCTCAGGGTGCTGGGATGGAGCCCCGCATCAGGCTGTCTGCTCAGCAGGGGACCTGCTTCCCCCTCTGCCTCTGCCTGCCTCTCTGCCTACTTATGATCTCTCTCTCTTTCTGTCAAATCAATAAATAAAATCCCTATAAAAGAGAGAAATATAGATAGGTGGCACTTCTAAATTACCATAGCTATCCTACATGTATCTATGTTTACCCTAATTTCTGTTCCCCCATTTCACCAATGCCATCAGCCACACAGGGGCCATGAATCCTTATCACACTAAGGAAACATTCTAGTAATTCTTTTCCCCACTACCTCTTTGGTTCAGTCTATGTCCTTCCCCTCATTCATTTCCCCCATGGTCCTTCTGAGAGTTGATTTGTCTGAGAAACAAACAAAAGTTTTATTTTTGCATTTTCTCAACTCACCTGGATGCAGTACACCAGGACAGAGGCTGTCACGGCCTGAGCTCGCACCCCCATGGGGCCGAACAGCTTCTCCAGGATCAGGTGTAGAGTGTCCACGTCTGTTGCCTCCTTTCCATGCTCTGTGTCGGTCTGTCTTCTTGACCTGGAAGACTTAAGGAGACAAACTTATCTCGGCAATATATCTTTTGCTCTCTCTCGCCCCTTACTCCTTTGGGCTTTTATTTTCTGTGGTCTTTCTCTCCCCTTCCATCCTGGCTTCTTTCTCTACGTCTATTCTGCTGTTATGGTCTCCACATCGACTTCTCTCTGCCTTCTACTAGCAGTTCTTTCTATTTGTCTTTTACTTTCTCCCAACTGTCCCCAAAAGGAAAACATTCAGGGAGGACACATCAGTCCTCAGAATTAGGTATTCTTATAGACAGTGGTGAGAAACTTGACTTGAGGAAGCTCAAAGGCAAATAGCTGGTGACAGAACAAGCTCTCTCGTCTCCATCAAAAAAAGGAGTAAAATTTTTGGTCCTTTGCTAAGGCAGTTCACGGGGGACCACTGAGTAACTGCCAATCTCCATTCCCTCCCCTCTCCATGTGATTAGCCCTCCTCTCTTGCTCTTTGAAACCCTCCCCTTCGCTATGTTGATAATCAACTCTCCTGGTTCTGGGTCATTTATTTTAACCATTGCAGTAGCCCTGAGAGGTTGACAAATGGACTGGAAAGCACTCCCACCTTTGAGGAAAGCAGGTCCCCTCTACCCTGACTTTAGTTTCCTTTGAAACACATTAGTCAGACAGACACACATATTTTTTTAAACTGGATTCCAAAAAATAACGAATAAACTGGGTTCCAAGATCTATGGGTCTCTAGATTTCTCTCTCAAATAAAATCTAAGGTCAGAGTAATAATAAGCACACATGGAAAGAGAATATTTGTCAAGACACATCCCTACAGGAATGAGTGAATACTGTATAAATGATTTATACTTAAGTCAGTAGGTTTTTGCTTAATGCAAAGTATTTCAAAATTTTTTTAAAAATCCAAAGTATTTCATAGGAAAATTAGACATCAGTTTATGAAGATTGATCTATCTCAGAAGAACTGAATAAAACCATCTTTCAGAACATATATACTTCTGAAAGTCTAATTTTACTGAGTTGTTGAAGGCAACTGTTGTGTGGGATTGATTCAAAGAGTCCTCACACAGCATTAAAATATGATATCAGCATGGTGAATATAATCTTTTTTTCCTCTTAGCTAAGGGAGTCAAATAGTGACAGAAAAGCCCGGTATGATACTGGTGATTGGACATCATTAAGTTCCAAAACTAAATGAGCACTACATTATTTTTCTTTTTAATGTAAAATAAGACAGAGATAGGATGAAGAGTACTTTCCAAATTTCAACAGAAAACTTGACAAGGTGGGAGGTATTTCTTAGGACAAACAGGGCAGAAAAATCCTGACCCTCCACTAAATTCTCTGTGGTTTCTCCAAGCCTTCATTGTCCCATTTATAAAACAGGAGGGGAATACTCCCTTGACCTGCCCTAGGTGTTGTTTCATAGAAAAAATACTACCAGAGATATGAAGTCATTTTGATTAGAATCTTTCTGCTTAGATTGGCCTGTCCATGGTAGTAGCATCACTAATCTTTCCCTGCTCTTTCTCTTGTCAGAGTGACAGGAAAACATCATGGCTAAGAATCCAGCTAGTTTATCTGGGATTAAATACTCGCTTTGTCACTTATTTTTATTTATTTATTTATTTTTTGCTCTGTCACATATTCACTGTGCAGTCTTGAGCAAGTCACCATATCTCTGTTGGGTCAGTTTCATTCTTTCAAAATGGGGTAGTAATAATTACTTCAAGTTACTTCATAGACTTATAGAGATTAAGTAAATTAATGTGTGTGAAATGCGTACAATTGTCCTGATTCAACAAGTGTTTTATAAGCATTAATCAGCATTATCTTGATTTCCATTCAGTTTTGCCAATGACCTTCACCTTCAATATGCTGAATAATTGAAGTCCTCTCAGTGTATTATTACCATGACCATGTTTTAACTTTCCTGGTATTCCAGTTCTTGAATATTTCCCCTTGCTGTTCTGGTCATATCTTCTCCCAATCATACCAGCCAAACCTGCATGAACAGGTTTGCCAATTAACAAGATTTTTACCCGTTACACTTTCCTGCATGTGATTGCCATAATTGTTTTGCCCTCTAGCTTTCTAACAGGTTTGAACAAAATGGGATTCTGTTAATGACCTCCTTGTTACTTTTCTTTCTCAGAATTATTACTGCCATTTTGTTGTTGTTCTCACTGAATTATTCCTTGAAGGAATAGAACTTCCTATTTATCCTAATGCAAGTGATCATGGCTTGTGTCAATTTTAATGCTGAGTTCAGTCCCTGCCAAAGCCTCCATGTCAGGAATGATGACTGAGGAAAGGTCCCTGTAGGAAGATTGAAGAGTGTACGCACTGGAAGGGCAAGTAGCTGAGGGAGAGGGGAATGACCTCATTTCAATCCTACACAATCTTGTACTTCCATTAAGTTAGTGAATCATTAGCTTATACCCAGGTTTTTAAGGACTTGGAGTGGAACCAATGGAGGGTGCATGTACATAGACCTTTTCACCTATGTCTCAGGAAATTGTTAGACAAAAGTTGTAACAAGTGAAGCTAAAAAATTACTTATTTCTGGCCCCTTTGATTATTCTCCTTTTGACCTTGTCTATATCAGGTGACCAACTAAGAATTTCTTTTATTTCTGTGCCTCAGTGAAATAGAGGTCAGGACTACCCTCACTGTGAGTCATCAAACATGAGTTATAGAGTGTTGAGCAATAAGTTAGGCCATATCCATGGCTTCAAAAATAGATAATAAAGCAGAAGAGATCAGTTCCATCTTGCAACTTCTCCACTAGGAAGTCCCTCTATCTTATGAATCAAGATTGCAGTATAAGCACTGAGTGACAACCTCAGAGGTGTTGACCATCAGGATTAGATATGAAATTCAACAAAACAGAAGGATAAAGTTTGTCACAAGATTATTAGTTTTATATGCCATCTAACACATTACCACAAATTATCTGAGTAACAATGTAAAACAACACACATTTTTTGTTTATCTCACAGTGTCTGTGGATCAGAAGTATAAAAACAGTTTAGTTGGGTCCTCTGTTTAGAATCTCAAGGGCTGCCATAAAGATGGCTGTTGGGTTGTGTTCTCATCAGATGGCTCAACTGGGGAAGGATATACTTCCAAGCTATGTCAGGCAGGAATTCATTTCTTTATGGCTATTGATTTGTGTAAGCTTGTTTCTTTAAATCTGGCCAGAGAGGAAGAAAGGAGTGAGAGCACCTTTAGCAAGATAGGCACTATACCTTAGGTAATCAGATATACATGATCATATATGTTCTATCACCTTTGCTACATTCCAAGCCACAGATACCACCCACACTCAAGGGGAGAAGATTACACAAGGGCATGAACATCATGAGGCAGGGATAATGAGAACCACTTAGTCTGTAAAACCTGTCCAACTATCTGCTACATCAGGATTATAGAAATTATCCCATGGATCTTTTAAAACAGAAGAAATACAAATGTCCCTCAATGGATGAATGGATAAACAAAATGTGGTATATACATACAATGGAATATTATTTAGCCTTAAAAATAAAGAGAATTCAGATACGTGCTACACCATGGATAAACCTTGAAGACACTATGCTAAGTGAAATAAGCCAGATGCAAAAGGACAAATATTGTATGTTTCCACTTACATGAGGTACTTAGTCAAATTCATAGACACAGAAAATAGAATGGTGGTTTCCAGGAACTAGGAGAAAAAAAGAATGGAGAGTTATATTAGGTCCTCCAGAAAAAACAGAACCAAAAGGATGTGAATATTTATAGAGAAAGACTTATATAAGGAACGGACTCATGCAACTATAGAGACTGGCAAATCCAAACCTGTTATGTGGATCAGCCAGCTCAAGTCCCAAGAGAACCAGTGATGAAGTGCCAGCCCATAGGCTGTCTGCTGGAGAATGTTTTCTTATTTGGAGGAAGATCAGTGTCTTTGTTCTATTCAGGTCTTCAACTGATTAAATAAAGCCCACTCTCATTATGGAGGGAAATCATTACCCTACTGATTAAAATGTTAATCTCACCCAAAAACATTCTCAGAGAAACTCAGAAAAATATTTGACCAAATAACTGGGTACCCCATGACCCAGACAAGTTGACACAGAAAACTAAACATCCAGGAATTATTATTTAATGAATACAGATTTTTTAGTTGGAGAAGAAGAATAGTAAGCTGAGTTCTTAATTGGCATCAGATAGAAAAGAGATGTTCAGTAAATCATTTACATTTTTTGGGCTTCATCTCCACCTTCTCAAAATAAGAACAGAGATATATTTTCCTTAAATTTCTTTATATTTTTAAAACCCAACTTACTTGGGTGATGTCTTAATCACTAAGAATCTCAAGTGTTAACTATCTACTGCTTGCAGAATATTACAGAATATTACAATTTATATGGTACACCAAGGTGATAGGAAAGAATGAGTTTTTATTGATAGAAGGAGATCTATCTATTTCTAAAGAACTTGTAATTTGGTTTTAGAGAGGGAATAATTGTAATGGAATTGAAAATCAATAGAGTGCACTATCAGAGTATATAAAATGAGAGAGTAAAAAATGCTGGCAATCCTACCTTGAGATTTTGAATACAGAGGATTTTTTAAAGAAAAAAAAATGAATTGTATTTGAAGGGAGTACAGGATTTGTAGACCTTATCACCAGGTCCTGGATTGCTTAGTGATGTTTTTATCAGTGTGGGCCCAAAAACACAATGGATGATTATTCTCTCCTGGGTTTCATGGGTGGGGTATGAATGTGAATAACTGAAGTCTGAGAGATCCAGCTCAATCTTAGAGACCTTCTCTAAAGAATGTAGTTATTTCTAGTGTTGTGTGTATCCTTGGATGTTTTAGGTATATTGTCATATGTGTCCTTCCAAGACAGTTCTTCCTAGGACAACCCATAAAAGGTTACTAGGAAGTGACGAGCTCACAAGGAAAAAAATGTGTCATATCAACAAGTGTGCTTCCATATCACATCTTAATCCACTAGAATACTAATGGCATGCAAAATAATTGAGTCACTGGGGAATGAAAAAGTGTTCTTTTCACTGTGACATGATTTCAGTATTAATTCATTATTAAAAACACTTTCCTGGGATGCCTGGATGGTTCAGTTGGTTAAGCATCTGCCTTCAGCTCAGGTCATGGTCCCAGAGTCCTGGGATCAAGTCCTGCATTGGGGTCCTCGTTTAGCGGGAAATCTGTTTCTCCCTCTGCAGGTCGTTCCCCCTGCTTGTGCTCTCTCTCTCTCTCTTTCTCTGACAAATAAATACATAAAATCTTTAAAAATAAATAAATAAATAATAAAAACACTTCCCTGAGATTCTACTTATGTGAAAGTCAGCATGGTGAATGCAGGTAGCAATTTTGCTTCCTGGCACTCAAGATCAAGGGAGGTGTTGAGTGATAAAGGTAAGTAGCATTTATTTGTTACAAGCTGGTTTGACTAGGATATACTTGCTATAGGCTGAGCTTTTTTTAGTGAACTGTATCATGGGGTAAAAATATTTAATTTTTAAAAATATTTATTTATCTATCTATTTATTTATTTTTATATAGAGAGAGCAAGCTAGCAGAGGGACAGAGGGAGAAGGAGAGAAAGAATCTTTTTTTTTTTTTTAGATTTATTTATTTATTTATTTGACAGACAGAGATCACAAGTAGGCAGAGAGGCAGGCAGAGAGAGAGAGGAGGAAGCAGGCTCCCCACTGAGCAGAGAGCCCAATGCGGGGCTCAATCCCAGGACCCTGGGATCATGACCTGAGCCAAAGGCAGAGGCTTTAACCCACTGAGCCACCCAGGCACCCCAGGAGAGAGAGAATCTTTAAGCAGGTTCCACACTCAGTGCAGAGCCTGACATGAAGCTTGGTTTCACGACCCTGAGATTATGACCCTGAGATAATGACCTGAACTGAAATCAAGAATCTGACGCTTAACAGGCAGAACCACCCAAACACCCCATAGAGTAAAACTTTAAATGACAGGTGACCTATTTTCCATTTGGTCTCAGATACTTGCACAGAAAAAGGTAATACAAGTAATCCAGGAAAGAGGAGGGAAATGGAATCTTAAGTAGGCTGTCAAGATCAGTGATTTTTCTAAATATTTTCCTAGATATTTTATTTGTATGTTTTTCTCCAATGTTCTTTTATGGATCCCCTCCTTTTATTTTTTCGTCATGTAGTTTATTTTATTTTATTTTTTAAAAGATATTATTTATTTACTTATTTGTCACAGAGAGAGAGACCGTGCACACCAGCCAGCAGAGTGGCAGACAGGCAGAGGCAGAGAGAGAAACAGGTTCCCTGCCGAGCAAGGAGCCCGATGCAGGACTCGATCCCAGCACCCTGGGATTATGACCAAGCCAAAGGCAGCGGCTTAACCGACTGAGCCACCCAGGCATCCCTCGTCATGTAGTTTAAAGCAAATTCCAGATATCATATCATTTGGCTGTAAATACTTCAGAAAATATCTTTAATACACATTTTTTTTTTTAAAGCATGTATAACTGCAATGAGATGTTTCTTCTCTGGTTAGGAGGTTATGGAGGGAAAATAGGTGAGAATTCTATCAATGAATTCATATAGACAGTCTTATGGGGAGCTCGCTGAAGAGTCTTTGAGACTTCAGTTATTTATGTGTAAAATGTATCCTTTGATGGGCAATTCAATTGTGCTGAGTATTACTACTACTAATATTAATAACTGTCATTTATTGAGTTCTTATGTTTGAAGTATAGTATTTAGCATTTTCATGCACTATTTCATATGAATCCTGATAGCAACATTATCAACATTATCCAGTGGAAATTCCAATGTCCCAATTTATGGACAAAGACATAAGAGTATTAAGTAATTCCCCAAGATTATAGACTAAGGTACTAGGAAAGGAAAGATTCGAAACCAGCTCCATCTGGCTTCAAATTTCTGCTGCTTTGTTATACTCCTGCTATGTTATACTGCCACTGTATGAAACAGCTCTCCTAATTAACTTCTAAAATTACCCACGTCACCATGGCTGAAGATGAGTCACACATGATTAACTCCAAAATTTCTAATCTAATGATGATTTAAACAGTCAAAATTAAAAAGGAAAATGTGAGGCTCACAAGAGCCACAGTATAGAGGGTCTGCTACAGTGCAGTAAACAAATATGGACAATGGAATTAAGTAATCTGGTTTAAATGCACAGTCCTCCACAAATTTAATGTGACTTATTCTTTTGAGTTTCAGTTTCCCTATCTGAAGAGTGAATACAAATGCCTCTCCTCTAATGCTCACAGAAAATACAGTTTTCCCTTTCATAAATTACCTAGTGAAACATCCTGAAATACTAGCAGAATCACCACTTTCCCCACCTGCAATAGGCATAACCCAAGAATTTGCGTCAGCCAACTTCCCAGTCTGAAGCAAAACCTCTTCTTCCTCCTACCAATGATTGAGTCATTCTTCTATTAGATAGCAGTAGCTATTTAAACACTCCAGCAGAAGCTCACAAATTTTTACTTTGCAGAAGTCCTTGACTGCTTCACTCTCTCATTCTTGGAATGAATTCAGAAATGACTTTTGATGACTTCAAGAACAAGACTATGAAGGATCAACCTGATCAGGAGCCAAATGGAAAGAAAGCTAAAGGTACTAGGGGTGGGTGAATGAGCACAGCAACAGAATTCTAAGATTAGCTCAAAAATGTAAATTAACTGAATATAGGATTAGATAGTTGAAATGCCCAAGGATGGAAAAATATTGTAGAATTAATAACATTTACTTAAAAGAAAAACAATTCAGATATAATGGTGATAATGACGACGACGATGATGATGATGATGATGATCTGTGAATGAACTAACTTGGTATGAATGATGATGTATAGATTCAGATAATTTTTTTAAACATTACCATAGGTTAGGTTCTATGCTATTCACTTTACATGCATTATTTCTCTGAATCAGCATTTATAGGCAGACATCCAAGTTAACAGGAGTCATTTGTTTGTTTGTTCATTCATTCTTCATGTTGTAAATATTGAGTGCCCGAATTTCACTACAATTATGAAGCTAAATCTCTCAGAATCTGATTAGATCAGTCACCTACCGAAAATAATCCAATTGCTTTCTGATCAGAAAATCACTAATGGGAACAGGTTGGATTAATGGTCTCTACCTACGGAAGAAATGGGACAAAGGGTGTCCTTTAGAAAATGGGGGTTGCACCTTTCCTGCACAGGTGTGGAAGTTGTGATTTGCTTCTAAAAATTCAGAAGTTTCTTCACTCAAGAGTGGTAGGCATACACTTATAGTATAGAATGAATATTGACCAGAGGGAAATACTGGTTGACAGATTTACACAAATATCTACCCTCAAGCTAGAATTCTAAGCAAGAGACACAAATATTCTCTACTTTTCTGCCAGCTTGCTACATACACTCCAGGAGCTTAATGACTTTTAAATCAGTGAATGAACTGTGTTTCTTCCTGTTAAAATTTCTATTTTTTCTGTCTCTTCTCTAGAGTCTAACAGAAAGGCTTTTGACTCTGTGAATATATTTGACCATTCATTGATTTAGATTATTACACATTTGCACTAGAAAGTTTGTGATGTAACGTTCCAAGCTATGTAGCGATTAAAGTTGGATTAAAGACCTCTGTTTGTATCTTAACATCAGTGTCATCTTATACAATTCACTGAGACTTTGGGGTTTCCTTATCTGCATGTAGAGGATAACACTACCAGTACTCTATTTGTTTATTGTACAGGGTGAGGAGTTCACATAGATTATATGAAATATTTTCCTATTGAACCAAAATATCTGTGCTTTTGTAGTGGTGGAGCTGTGAGCTATAGGACTTATTGTTTCTATAATAATGGTGAACTTTTATAACAACAAGAGCCGTAGCTGGTGTAAGTATAGGACATGACATTAATGAGTCAAATGAATATTGAAGTTTAATCCCTACTTTTCTTCAGTCAATAACCTCAGTTCTAAGATGTAATTTTAGTGGAATAAAATTTGAAAACATAAAATTAAATTCTTTGAGGTGATCTGTTGATTAACTAACTAAAGCTTATTTTCTTGGTGTCTGACATTCTTCTATGGTATACTGCTTATAAAACATATTGTGTATGAGGTGTGTATGTGTGTGCGTGCATTGACATGGTCTCTATTAAAAGTACCAGGCTGTCTGTTCTTTGGATGAAGTTGATCCAGCCAAGCTGTACTGAGAGTTTCTTAGAGAGTCATTATGGTAGAAGTAGATAAAGTATAAGCTTAAGAATCAGATACTTAATATCACATATCTGATACTGAATTCTGGCTCTTAAATTGTGTCAGTTGTGTGACCAAGAGCAAATTAATTAAATTCTGTCTATATTTTTCATCTGTAAGTATGGACAATGAATTATATGCAGAGTCGTCCTTGGGAGGACTAGTAAGGTAAGAAATGCAAAGTACAAGGTATAGTTTCCAAAGAATTGTTTGATGACTTGCTTCCATCTTTTATGTCTTTCTGATTCTATCCTCTGTCACTCTAGGTCTTCATTTTCTTTCTTCTCGGTGGTGGTGCCCTATGGCTGTGACCCTGGGGATCCTTTGCTTGGGATTACTGGTAACCCTTATTATACTGACAATGCAATGTAAGTACTGGAGAGAGGGAAAAAGTGAGAACTTACAAACATGGTTTATTAATTGGTTTCATAATAACTATAAACAAACTCGATTCAGATACATTTTAGGCAAACTTTTTAGAATGAGTGGGAACATGAATAAGTACATTGTGCTTGTCCCTCAAATTGACTGGGACACGGACTTAAGATTATTAATGGTAGGTTTTGTTCTGTTTTGTTGTTATAACTTAGTGGACAAAGTCTGTTTAAATCCTGGAATGATGAAAAAGAAAATAATTTGAAACTCCTAAGCCACAAGATCCCCTGAGAGACCCAAAAGGAAAAGAAATGTTATATAGTTCACATTGAGGTTGTTTTTGTTGTTGTTGTTGTTGTTCTTAAGAGAGAGAGCATCCATGGGGGGAGGAGCAGAGGGAGAAGGAGAGAGAGGATCTCAAGCAGACTCCATGTTGAGCACAGAGCCTGACATAGGCCTTGATCTGACCACCCTGAGATCACGACCGAGCTGAAATCAAGAGTCAGTTACTTAACCTACTGAGCCACCCAGGCACCCCTACATTGAATTTTAATAGAGATGATTAAATACCAATTTAAAGAAATACCCTATCAATAAATGAGACATTTAAAATAACTGTAATTCAAATTTATAATATGACCACTTAGAAAAGAGGATGTTGAGAGGAAAAGAAGTGATAAGAAGGAGAGTGGCCAAAAAGGAATGAAAATGATATTGATCATCATATAATCTGCCTGTGTATTCGGGTTGTAGATCTGAGTTCTTTTGTCCATCTAGAATCTAGGTGATTAAGGCCTTTGAAGTGCTATTTGATTCTCAGTTGTTGGTTAAAGTCACCAACCGTTTATTTTTTCAATCTGTTAACACTTAGGGCCTTCCCTAACAACTAGGAGAAGTGCACTTGACTCAGTGGTGGTGATTGGATGAGTCTTCCCATGAGAAGAATCACTTTAAAACAGTCTCAGATCCAGCTTTCAAGCCAAAGGGTCTGTTTTGTACTCAACCATCAAGCTTCTAGAACTGAGACATTTGACCCTTAACATTAGTTGCCTGCCGGGTTTCACAAACTTCATTTCATCCCCACTCTTCCTAAATGTACTGTGGAAAAAAAAAAAAGAAAGAAACAAATAGTTCTTGAAATTGTTATGACATAGCAACTTAAAATAATTCTGTGGGAGGGTGTCTCAAAAAAGGGGTGTCACAGTTTTTAAATAAAATTAGGAAGTCTGGAGTTGTAGAGAGTTAGCAGAGGAATAAAAACACAAATAGAGTAAGTCATTGATGACAACTATTAATAATAATCACTGAGTCTGGTTGGCATCTATTTCAGATTGTCTGCATTTTATTTATGCCATTGACATACCTTTATTTTATGATTGCTTTTAAACTTGTCTGGAACCATCAGTAACAAGTAAAATCCTGTTGTTATTGTTGTTGTTGTTTTAATCAAATGTGTCTGTGACAGTTACTGACATTAAAAAAATATAGTATAGGAATATCAAATAACTTTTCAATCCATAAGTTTTGAGTAATTTTCCAGCAGTTTATCATTGTCAAAATGGATTATTTGATTTGATTCTTCGATTTCCTCAAAATCCAGTGGAGGGATTTTTATTCAGGATTGGTAATGGAGTTCTTATTTCAGCTGTCATTTAGTATTACAGGTGTCTGATCGCCTAAAGCAACAGCAAGCCAACCTCACTAACCAGGAAATGATACTGGAGGGACAGATCTTAGCACAGTGCCAGACAGAAAAAGCTTCCCAGGAGTCAGAAAGGGAACTCAAAAAAAAGATAGAAACCCTTACCCAGAAGCTGGATGAAAATTCCAAAAAACAGATGGAACTTCATCAGCAGAACCTCAATCTCCAAGAGGCTCTGAGGAAAGCAGCAAACTTTTCAGGTATGAGGGATGGAGAGGTAAAAAGAAGTAGTAGAAACTGCTCTGTTTAAACTTAACTGTGTTTTGAAAATGTCTCTAGGCACAAAATTGACATATCGACATATATTCATAATGTATGACACCAGAAGTTCTCTATTTTTATCATCCCCACCCTTCCCTCTGCTAAATTCTTGAGATACCTGATTTAATTAAGTGCAGTTTTTTGGCAGATTTAAATTTTCTTTCCTCATAAGAACCTCTTCTTTGTTTTTAAAATCTAGATCTGAGATTTTTCTGGAAGAATTCTCCTGCCCTTACCCATCAATTCTTATTTCTTTCTCTTCCAATATATCTTAATCATTGATTTCTTTCCCTATGGGGTCTCCTTTGTCTCTGGGAAGGTCTACATTAATTTTATTCTGTAACCCTATCTCTTAAAGTATACAACAATCAATTTAAATAAAATGAATGGAGGTAGGCTGACTTGGAAGTGTTGGGTAGATACTTTAGGTAAGAAAAAAATATAAAGAGCCCAGGAAGTCAGTTTATGTAAGAATTAAATTAATCTAGGAATCTAGGAGGCAGGTAGAAATACTAGCATCTATAAGAAGGGGATGATGATGTCAACTCTGATGTTATTACAGTGTTATCTGTGTCATTTAGTCTTGGACAACATGTGATTAAATCAGGTATATGCTTTTCATCACAGGGAGATTTAAGGGATATGAGATGGAATTATTCTCAAAGATGCATTGTTTTCTTGGCAGTGTATGAATGAGTAACCTATTCTCAGCATTAGTAACTAATTACCACTAATAAGCAGAGATTTCTCCAATTTCTTGCTTGCACATCTCACTTGATCTCAACTACGCAATTTCTTTGAAAACGGATTATATAGTAACAGTTCACAAATACCCCAGGTCTTTATTTTATAGAGGAAAAAAATTGATAGCCAGAGAAGTTAAGTGGTGATAATAATGATAAGTAGTTTTTCTTTTTCTTTCTTTCTTTCTTTCTTTCTTTCTTTCTTTCTTTCTTTCTTTCTTTCTTTCTTTCTTTTTAAAGATTTTATTTATTTTTTTGACAGAGAGATCACAAGTAGGCAGAGAAGCAGGCAGAGAGAGAGAGAGAGAGAGGAGGAAGCAGGCTCCCTGCCGAGCAGAGAGTCGGATGCGGGACTCGATCCCAGGACCCTGAGATCATGACCTGAGCTGAAGGCAAAGGCTTAACCCACTGAGCCACCCAGGCACCCCTGTAGTTTTCCTTTTTTTAAATAAAGTTTTGGAGTTAATAAATCCCTTCAATATTTATAGGGTTATTTAAATTTCCAAAAGAAGCAGAGATTTTTAGACAAACTGACCTTTAGCAAGTATCAAACCTGTATTTAATGTCTTTATTAAGGAGAGAGCTATTGAGGAAACCAAAGAATGTGGTGTCTCTAAGAAGGTATAAAGGAGGGAGACTAATCTAGCAAAGATAGGAATCTTTATATAAACAGACATAGCTACATACCAACCAGTGATTTATTCCCCCGATGGGGCTGTTAAACAGGTTTTTTAAAATTTATTTTTTTATCAGTTTTATGAGATTACATCTACGTCAGGACCATCCAGAACCATCTCCCAGAGATTCCAGGCATGGGCAACCAATCAAAAATATTAAGTAATATGTTTTTCACTGGTAGATGTCCCAGGTAACATGTTCCATTCCTTGACAGTGTCAGATAAAGGCCAATTAGTAGAGATAGCAGATAAAGTACTGCTTTTCATCAAGCAGCTTTGAGAAGTTTCTCAAAAATATTAATAATAAAATACCGCATGGGAAAAAAGCAGACCGGTTTCCTTAAGTTTGAGACAAGTTTTATCTTTCTTACTAACAAGTCTGTAGTCCACAGTGTAGATATGAAGAGAGAGAGAGATTCTGAAAAGTTACCAAACAAGTGGTTTGCAGAAGGTCGTCTAGCCAGAAAGGCGTGGAGTCTTCAGTCAGGGACTTTATGTTCAGGATGGAAATTAGTGGTGGTTGTCAGTCTTTGGTTGACAACATTATCACTATGGCAGCTTTTTAAAAATGGCGGTTTCCAGGTTTACCCCTAGATTCTGTATCAAAACATCTTGAAGGGCCCCAAAAGATATTTCCTCAATTGATTCAAACTTGGAAGTTTGAGAGGCAGTGCCTGTCGTGATTAAACACGTGGATACGAGAGCAAGCCCGCCAAGGTTCATGGTCCCCTTTATCTGCCAGATGAAGAAAATGAATGGAATTTATTTCATCCTGTTGTTATGAGGATTAAATGTGTTAATGTGTGAAAAGTACTGCCAACATAGTGATATTATGTTCCTTAAAAAAATAAATAAATAAAAAAGGACCGTAGGCTGGCTCAGTCTATAAAGGATGCGATTCTTAACCTTGGGGATATGAGTTTGAGCCCCACCTTGGGGACTTGGGTGTAGTGTTTACTTAAAACAAGTTTTTTTTTTTTTTAATTAAAAGAAACATAGGTAGTTTGAATACCACATATGCTATGTATTGGACAAGACATGCCTAGGAACAGGAAACACAACATTTAAGCATAAATTCATTATTTGAAAACCTGAAGTATTAAAATGTGTAAATGTATCTTTTTAAAAAGATTTTCTTTCTTTTTTTTTTTTATTTTAAAGAGAGAAAGCGCACACACTTTGTGAGGGGGAGAAGGGCAGAGGGAAAGAGAATCCAGAAGCAGACTGTGTTGAGCACAGAGCCCAAGAGGCATTATCCTACCACCCTGAGATCATGACCTGAGCCAAAATCAAGAGTTGGTCACTTAACCTACTGAGCCATCCAGGCACCCTGGATTTTATTTCTAATTAACTTCTACACCCAGTATGGGCCTCCACACCAAGACTAAGAGTTGCATGCTTCACTGAGTGAGTCAGCTCAGTACCCGGAGCATATCTTCTTAATAGCAGTGTAACTATTAATGGATCCATTCCCTGAGGTCTTACTTCCATTCTTCCAAACATAATTATAAAAAATAGGTCACATTCTATAGTTACGTCTCAGCTCAAATTTTGCTTTGGAACAGCCTTATTTTTCATTTAATTTACTTAAATCAGAATACTTTAAGAGAAATAAAGACTATGGATCTATTGAGGTCTTTGAAGACTGGACATAATTCTAATTTTTTTAAAAGATTTTATTTATTTATTTGACAGAGAGAGAAGGAGAACAAGCAGGAGGAGTGGGAGAGGGAGAAGCAGGCTTCCCGTGGAGCAGGAAGCCCAATGCCAGGCTCGATTCCAGGATCCTAGGATCATGACCTGAGCCAAAGGCAGACGCTTAAGGACTGAGCCACCCAGGCCCCCCCACTCCATAATTCTAATTAAGAATAGATGATTTGCACATGACAGTCCTGAGGGGAAAATTGATTTAAGAATTGTAGAAATATTTTTACTCAGACATCACTCACTGATGAGATATGCTACACTTCCTAGGTCCTTGTCCCCAAGACTGGCTCTGGCATGAAGAAAACTGTTACCGATTTTCCTCTGGCCCATTTAATTGGGAAAAAAGCCAGGAGAATTGCTTGTCTTTGGATGCCCAGATGCTGAAAATTAATAGCACAGATGATTTGGTGAGTTTTTATGGTGGTACATTGGGCTGAAGTAGTGCATTATAGGGAAATAAATCGGGTTTACGCCCTTGGCAGAGGAGCACATATTTGAGAATCAAATTACTTATTTTCTAGCCTCATCTGGCTAATGACTGCATGACCTCAGATAGAGAGGTTACATAGTATCTCTAGGCTTCAGTAAATAGTTCTGTAAAACCATGGAAAGGATGTCGAAGATCTCTTTTGGTTCTTTGGTTTTGTGAATCTAATGTAAAATGACCACACTGACTTTATCATCACTTTAGATAAACATTCCTCCCCACAGGAATTCATCCGGCAAGCGAGTGCCCATTCCAATTTTCCGTTCTGGATGGGGTTGTCTCTGAGGAAACCCAGCAGCTCATGGCTCTGGGAGGACGGCTCTCCTTTGATGCCCCACTTGTAAGTTTCCTATTTTTTGCTGAACGTGTTAGTGACGTTGCTTCCACATTCCACATAATGTCCTCTTCTTGTCAGGGAGAAGCTTGGGGGAAATTCAGGAACATCTCCTTCTCCACCTCTGTCAGACAAGGACTTGCCTGTTGAGCCATTCAGACCTTCTCTCCAGTTTATCTTCCCACATTCATTACGGATCTGAAGCTTTAAGACAAGGCTAAATTTCTGACACAAGGTGGCAGTCAATTTACCTCTCCCCCCCTCCCCCCATCTGCAGGTTCAGACTCCAGGGTCCTGTTTCCCAGATCTATCCTTCAGGCAGTTGTGCCTATCTACAAAGAGGAGCTGTTTTTGCTGACAACTGCATTTTAACGGCATTCAGTATATGTCAGAAGAAGGCCAATCTATTGAGACCACAGTGAAGTCAAAGACTCTGGAAGAAGAAGAGAAGGAGAATTCTCTTCTGGAATTTAAGTTGTCCTTCATTAATGAGGTGCAAACTATGAGAGGCCCGAGAACCGCTTGTTATTAGCTGACGGCACAACTCCTTAGCAGAGACTGGGCTTTCGGCTGCCTAGCACTTTGATATCAGAAATTTTAATTCCGTCTTTCTCTCTTTCTGTGTTTTTCACCTAGCTTGTCCCAAGTCTCCCTGCCTTCTTCCCTTTTTTTATTTTAAAGTCTTACTCCTCTTCAATCCTCTACCTCAGTACCATCTTCCCCTCACCTTCTTGAACCACATAGAAGATGGAACTTGCCCACCTGGTGGATACATGGAAAAATGCATGCGAACACAGCCCGCGAAGAAACAGAAAAGGGGAAAAGGCCATGCTGGAATCCAGAAACTTGGGTTCTCAATGTTAAAATCTACCACTTGTTGGTCTTTTAAATTGTGATCTTTCTTTGGATTCCACTAAATACACACATGCACACACAACACCCCCTCCCCCACATCATCACATTTTGGGGGCATTTGCGATGTCCCAGGAGGTAATTACAAATTGAATGATCTTTTCAGCGAATTAATCACAATTCATTATTGGTTTCGAAATCTGTAATTATTTTTTCATCCTTTATCAAAGGACAGCTTAATCTCTTTAATCCTTCAGAACAGTTTTGTTAGAAACATGGGGCCTGAGGTAAAAATAGTAGATTTTTTTTTTTCCCTTAAGTACACACCATTTGTAAATGAGTTCTTCTCAACTCTGTTGTGTTAGTGCAGAAACACACAGGACAAAAATAGGAAGATACTCAACTAAAAAACAAACTGAGCCAGGTATGGAAATATAGCTGAATAGAAACAGGTGGAATCAGAAGTATTCCCTCTATTTTCAGTGTTTTTATTCCCTTGCTACCTTCCTTCACAGGTTCTTTTCCTTTTTAAAGGAAGTCTTTCCATTTTACTGTACATAATCCAGTACCAACTTTATAAAAAAAACCAAAAAATTGTATCATTCCTAGGAAGACAAGAGATATTTTCTTTTCTTAGCACATTTATTGATGTTTAATAGGCATATAACAAACTGAACATACTTGAATTACACAATAATCTTCGTATATATGAACATCTTCCTTTGAAATCATTGCTACAATTAAGATAGTGAATATTTCCATCATCCCTCCAGCTTTGATCATCCCCTTCTTTCAGACAACCACAAGCTAGCTTTCAGATTGTGTTTTGTAGCATTTTATATGAATGGAGTCAAACAGCATGCCTTTTTGTTTATTTTTGGTCTAGCTCCTTTCACTTAGCATAACCATTTTGGGATTCATTCATCTTGTTGCTTGCATCAATTTTTCATTCTTTTTAAATGTTGAGTATTACTCCCTTATATGATTATACCCCAATCTGTTGATAAATGACCTGTTGATGTCCATTTGGGTTGTTTTCAGTATTTGTCTATTGCAAATAAAGGTTCTATAAACATTTGTGTACAAGTCTTCGTTTGTACATAGAATTTCTCTTCTCTTGGGTAAATGCTTAGGAGTTTAATGTCAGGATGACTCAGTAGGTGTATGTTCAGCTGTTTGAGACATTGCCAACCTATTTACTAAAGTTGTACCATTTGGTATTCATACCAGCAATGTATGAATGTTCCAATTCCACCTACCCTTGCTAACACTTGGTATGGTCAGTCTTGTAATTGGTGCTATTTTACTGTGGTTTAAATTGCATTTCCTAAATGAAAAATCATCTTGAGGTCTTCTTATTTTCTTATATTGCTTATTTATTATCTACATATTTTCTTTGATAAAGTTAATACAAATCTTCAGAGAAGTTTTGAGGTTTTTTTTTTTTTTATTGTTACATTTTGAGAACCCTTTGTATATGCTGGGTAAAAGTCCTAAATTTATCAGATTTCATTTTGATCGTTTTTGTTTGTTTTTCAGTTTATGGCTTGACTTTAATTCTCTGGAAAAGCAGTTTTAAATTTTGATGAAGTCCATCTTCGTGTTTTTACTGGTGTTTCTAAGAACTTGTTACCACACTCAAAGTGACAAAATTTTCTCCTGTGTTTCCTCCTAGACATTTTATATTTTCAGGTTTTACATGGAAATCTATAGCTTATTTTGGGTTAGTTTGTGAGTCACGTATTAAAGTGCTCTCTCTCTCTCTCTCTCTATTATTATTATTATTTGCATTTAAATACTCAACTAATTTAGCAACATTTGTTGAAAAGACTATTCTTTCTTCACTACATTGCCTTTGCACTTTTGTCAACAATTAGTTACCCATATGTGGATGGGTCGATTTCTGTCTCTCTATTCTGTTCTGTTGACTTACTTAATATATTTTTACAACACCACCATGAATATCAGTTTCTTGAAATCATGTAACCCTTCAATGTTGTTCTTTTTCAAAGCTGTTTCAATTAATCTACATCTTTGTATTTTCATGTTAACTTTTGAATTGGCTTGTCAATTTCTTAAACCTAACAAACAAACAAATCCTGTTGAAATTTTGAATGTGATTGCATTGAACCTATTAGAAAAATGTGGGCAAAACTGAAATTTTAAAAATACTGATTTGTTCAACTCATAAACAAGGTATAGCTCTCCGTTTACTTGTTTTCTTCTAATTTCTTTAAGCAAGGTTTTGTAATTTTTTCTGTATAGATGTTTTACATATTTTCTTAGATTATCAGCATATATTTCATATTTTTGATGCTACTAGAGATGGCATGGTCATCAGTTGTAATTTTAATCTCCAAATGTCTCTTGATAGTGTATAGAATTACAATAAAATATTTTATATCAACCGTAGATCTTGAAACACTTATTTTTTCTAATAATTTGTATGTGGTGTGTGTGTATGTGTATTCCATTGGATTTTTACATAGATAATCATGTCATCTGCAAATAAAAGCATTTTTATTTCTTCCTTCCTGGATGATTTTTATTTCTTTTCCTTGCTAGATTTCATATACTAAATAGACCCACTAGTAAGCATTGAAAGAATGTGGTGAGAGTGTACATCCTTATTTTGTTCTTGATCTTGCAAGAAATCCGTGTTAATACAATTAAGTATGCTGTTAACTGTATATTTTTCATAGATGCTCTTTATTCATTTGAAAAAGTTCCCTTTTATTCCTAGAATGCTGAGAGATTTTCATCAGGAATGGGTATTGATTTGTCTACGTCTGCTTTTTCTACATCTATTGAGATGATCGATATTTTAGTTTTTTTAATTTTTTAACATGATGAATTACATTGAATAATTATAAAAGGTTAAACCAACCTTGGGTTCTTGGAATTTGTTATCATTTTAATATATTGGTGGATTAATTCTGCTAAACTTTGGCTTAGGATTTTTGCAAGTGTGTTAATGAAGGATATTGATTGTAATTTGCTTTTTGTGTAGTGGCTTTGTCTGGTTTACATTTTAGAGCAGTACTCCTCAATGTCAATTTTCTGGAAGGTTTCCGTGGAACTGGTACTATTTGTTCTTTAAGTGTTTGATATAGTTTATCACTGAAGTCATCTGGACATAGGTTTTCTTTTTTTATAAGATTTTTAACAACAGATTCAGTTTCATGGATGTAATACCATTTAAAGAATTCTTTCTTGAGTGTGGTTTGTTGGGCATTAGTTTCTTTCAAAGAATTCGTCCACTTTATTAAATATTTAATTTCTTAACCTGACATTTTTCTTTGTATTTTCTTATTGTCATTTTAATATCTCTAGAATTTGTATTAATGCAACTTCTCTCATTCCTGATACTGTTCATTTTTGTCTTTTGTTTTTTAAATTAGTTTGGTTTAGAAGAAAAAGTTCATTTTTCTTCTTGATGAAACTCTTTTCTTCATTGAAATTACTTTTTTTGTAGAAAATAAAGTCTATTACTTTTGTTTTCTATTTTATTAACTTCAGTTTCAATGATTTTTTTCTTTCTTCTACTTAATTATGTTTTAGTTTGCTCTTCTAGTTCTAATTCCTTAAGATGAAAACTCAGTTCATTGATTTCAGATTTTTTCTTTTTTAAATATATCTGTGCTGTGCTTTATGTTTCCCCTTTAGCACTAACTGTAGTGGTATGCAACAAATTCTGATTTATTTTTCATATTTATTCAGTTCAAAATACTTCCCAATTTCCTTTAGTTTCTGTTGTCTCATAACGCCCTTGGGAGCTTCCTGTTTTTGGTTGAAATCTGAAACACCCTCATCTCCCTTACTGAGAGGGCAAGAGGGGGACCAAAGACAGGCAGGCTACTAGGTGGAAGGTTTAATAAGCAAAGGGAACTTACATACAAGGCCTGTCTCAGGCAGCAGCAAGACTAGTTAATCCCCTACCCCCCCTCCAAATATTAAAAATTTATACAGAAGCCTTAACTAGGCTCAACCATGCACACTAGGTAGGTGTTCTCATCACATCACTGTCTCAAGGCCATGTCCTTGGAGCAGCTCCTGGGAGCAGGAAAGGCAAACAGAACCCACATTTGATTTAATTTTTTTTTTTTTTTTTGATAGAGATCACAAGTAGGCAGAGAGACAGGCAGAGAGAGAGCGGGAAGCAGACTCTCTGCTGAACAGAGAGCCCAATGCTGGGCTCCATCCCAGGACCCTGAGATCATGACCTGAGCTGAAGGCAGAGGCTTAACCCATGGAGCCACCCAGGTGAACCAGAACATACATTTGAAAGACAGGGAAGGGTATGAGGACCTACACATTGCTGGTCCAGCTCACAGGTCAGTTGAAGGTCATGCCTTTTCCATGAACTTCCCCAAAACTCCACCCTTTATGACTGTCTCTTATCTTATAATCTCACGTACTTCCCTCTTCTACAGTGTGCCCTGAGCAGTCAGCAAGGGGTTTCATCAGCATGCAGGTGGCTCCTTTGGTGGCCCTCTGGCTGTCCTGGAGGCAGATGCCACAGCAATAACACAGGTACATGTAAGAGAAAGCAATGAGTCCAAAATCAGTGACACTTTTTTTTTTTTTTTAACCAAGAGACCAAGATCCCAACCACTGGTTTATTAAGTCCCCTGTGCTGGGAGTTGGATCATTTAGGGCATTTTCTTTATCATTCTGTGACTTAATAAAGATAATACATTAGCAGATGTATTAGGTATGAACACATAAGATTCTGTTTGGATAATGGCACGGGTGCCTCCTTGAGACATAGGGATAATGTCTAAGGCCATTCTATTTTTTTGAAGACTCTCATTAGAGTCATTTTGGCATTCAGTAAGAACAGGCTGTGTTGACTATCATTTAAGGCTTGTTGGGTGAATTTAGTAAGGGCTTCTCTGT